ATAAAAGTACGGCCGGCCCCTGCGTGCGGGTGCCGGCAGGCCGGACGACTCGTACGCCCCGAGTCCCGGCAGCCAGTCGACCCTGCATTCGGGTCCTGGCACCAGGGAAGCTGCCGCAAACCCTGGCGATAAAGGGCCCGGGCCATGGCCACTGCTGCAGCTGCTTGCTGATCTGCCGGCTGCTGCTGCTGCTGCTGCTGCTGCTGCTGCTGCTGCTGCTGACTACATAATGAAAAAAGTAAAAATACGGTGACAGGAGGTGCAAAGGCCTGGGAAAACCCATAACCTCTACAACCCCGGCACCCTAATGCACGCCTTAGCTTATTAGGCTGAGGCGCATTACTAATCTATATTAAGATATTTAAAACAGAGTAAATAAATAAGTAAATAAATAAAGCGGAAATAGATATCATGGTTCAGCTTTATTTATTCATCTATTATTTGATAAGGTGTAGCCTCCCCTTAATTAGGTAATCCCCAAACAAATAAAAATCAATTGTGCACAACCAGGGCTGTGGGCACCACAAACGAAAACACGACAGACTGTACACGCGCGGCAACAGCCGTGACCGCGCACACTCGCTGATGCTGGTTGTTGGCTGCTGGCTGATAGCTGCATAGCGTAGCCCATTTAGGCAATATAACTGGCTGCAGCTGCTGGCTGGTTAGATAACGCTAGCTACCATCCACAAAACCCAGCGACGACAATAAAACCGGCCGGTCACCACCAACTGTCCACCAACTGTCCACCAACTGGATCAACATCTGCCAACCTCTTCCAACCAAACATATCTCCAACGGACAACTTCCACCATGACAACCATATTTCTCGACCCGATCCTCCATATCTTTGGACTCCCTTATTTTCCTGCTTTGAACTAGTCCTTCCGTTTGCAACGAATGTCGTGGTTTGAGCAAGGATGTCTCCCTTTTCATCTTTCTTTTGTGCTAGGTAGTTTGAAAGCAGAACTTCTGTAGCGTGGGTGGGCACGAAGAGCCGCAGCGGCGGCCGGGGAGGGAAATGCACCGCAAAAAGGTCGCGGTGGCAGCAAGCCCAGAGGAGAAGAGCCGCAGCGGCGGCCGGGGAGGGAAATGCACCGCAAAAAGGTCGCGGTGGCAGCAAGCCCAGAGGAGAAGAGCCGCAGCGGCGGCCGGGGAGGGAAATGCACCGCAAAAAGGTCGCGGTGGCAGCAAGCCCAGAGGAGAAGAGCCACAGCGGCGGCCGGGGAGGGAAATGCACCGCAAAAAGGTCGCGGTGGCAGCAAGCCCAGAGGAGAAGATCCACAGCGGCGGCCGGGGAGGGAAATGCACCACAAAAAGGTCGCGGTGGCAGCAAGCCCAGAGGAGAAGAGCCACAGCGGCGGCCGGGGAGGGAAATGCACCGCAAAAAGGTCGCGGTGGCAGCAAGCCCAGAGGAGAAGATCCGCAGCGGCGGCCGGGGAGGGAAATGCACCGCAAAAAGGTCGCGGTGGCAGCAAGCCCAGAGGAGAAGAGCCACAGCGGCGGCCGGGGAGGGAAATGCACCGCAAAAAGGTCGCGGTGGCAGCAAGCCCAGAGGAGAAGAGCCACAGTGGCGGCCGGGGAGGGAAATGCACCGCAAAAAGGTCGCGGTGGCAGCAAGCCCAGAGGAGAAGAGCCACAGCGGCGGCCGGGGAGGGAAATGGGTTGAAGTCACCGCCGCCGCAGCAGCAGCGCTAGCAGCAGCAGCAGCAGCGCCCGCAAAGGCCCCTGCATTAGTGCGCGGTGGCTGAAAGGGCCGTGAAAGGTGTCCGCCCATGTCTGCCGATCCGAACCGGCGTCCCTGCCTCCGTTGCGAGGTAACGAGCCAAAGTGCCAGGACCCCTTTCCTGGAGCTTCTCCCATTATCACTACTTCATCACTGCCATCATCACTGTCACCGTCGCTGGGCTCGATACCTTCTCGGCTGCCGTCCGCGTCGCCACCGTCGATGCGGCTGGTGTGACCGGGAGGCGCCTGTGCTTCCACCACGTTTGTTTTCCAGTTCAGGCGTCGCAGCTCTTCGATGCAGCAACGGCGGCGTGGGGCCGTTGCCGTCCAGCAGTGCCTCTTCAGCATCTGTCGGCGCCGCCTCCTCATCCGCCGGCTGTACGAACACACTGGGACGGCACCTTCCCATGGGCCCCGTCGGTGCTGAGGGTGTATTAACCAACGTCCCGGTGCGGCCGGCGGAGACGCGACGTTTCGGTGCACTTCTGATAAAGGCAAAGTCCGCTAGGGGTCTTACTGCCGGCGCCGCCGCGGCGGCAGCTGCTGATAGCTTGCCGACGGCGCCGGCACTGCTGTCCAGCGAGCCACCCCTTCCCCGTTGCTGCAGTGCCTGTGAGGGCAGCGGAGAAAGCCGCCGTGCAAGAACAGAAATTTGACAAGAACTAAAAGATGCCAACGGCAAGACACCGACAGTGAGACGCCGACGGCGAGACGTCCATGGCGAGACGCCGACGTCGCATGCGGCACAACAACAAAAACCCACA